AGAAGAACATGGAGAAAAAGCTTCAGGACATTGGACTTGGCAATGACTTCTTAGATATGACACCAAAAGCACAGAATAAAAACCAAAATTAGAAAATGAGAATACATGATCAAAGAAAACAATCAATAGTGAAAAGGCAACCTACAGAATAGGAGAAAATATCTGCCAATCATATAGCTGACAAGGAGTTAATATCCAGAATATATAAGGAACCACCATAACTCAATAACAAACAAATACCCCAATTAAAAATTGGGTCAAGGACTTGCTTCCCTGGTGGCTCAGATGGTAAAGGGTCTGCCCACAGTGCAGGAGACCTGGGTTCGATCCCTGGGTAAGGAAGATTCCCTGGAGAAGCAAATGGCAAACCACTCCAGTATTCTTGCCTGGAAAATTCCACAGACAGAAGAGTCTGGTGGGCTATAGTCCAGGGGGACACAAAGAGTCAGACACGACTGAGCAATTAACACTTAACACAAGGACTTGAACAGACACTTCTCCAAAGAAGATACACAACATTCAACAGGCACATGAAACGATGCTCAACGTGACCGATCATTAGGAAAATGCAAATGCAAACCACAATGAGATACCACTTTATCAATCAGGATGTCCACTATCAAAAGAACAGAAACTAACAAGTCCTCAAGAGGACCAGGAGAAGTTGAAAGCCTTGTGTACTCTAGGCGCTAAGGTAAAATGGTACATCCATTATGGAAAACAGTATGGAGGTTCCTCCACAAATTAAAAACAGAATTACAATACAATCTAGAAATTCTACTTCTGAGTATATATCTAACATAACTCAAAGCAAGAACTTGAGCTATTTGCACACCTGTGTTCACTGCAGCATTATTCACATAGCCAAAAAGTGGAAGCAAGCCAAACATTCATCAACTGATGAATTAATAAAGTGTGGTATATACATACAATGGAGTATTATGTAGCTTTAAAAAATGGGAAATCCTGTCATATGAAGACATTATACTAAGGGAAATAAACCAGTCACAAAAGGACAGATACTATACATTTCCTATCACCGGAAGTATCTCTCTAAGGTAGTCCAAGTAACAGCAACAGAAAAGTGTTTACCAAGGGCTAGAGGCAGGGTGAATAAGTGTTTAGTGGATATAGAGTTTCAGTGTTATAAAATGAAAAGGTTCTAGAGATCTGTTGTACAACAATGTGAATACTTAACACTACTGAACTGTATACTTAAAAAATAGTTAAGATGGTAAACTTAGTGTTAAGGTTCCACCATTTTACAGATAAGCAGATTGCACTCATTTCACATGCTAGCAAGGTAATGCTCAAAAACCTCCATGCTACGCTTTAGCACTACATGAACTGAGAACTTCCAGACATATAAGCTAGATTTAGAAAAGGCAGAGGAACCAGAGATTACATTGCCAACATCTGTTGGATCACAGAAAAAGCAAGGAAATTCCAGAAAAACATCTACTTCTGCTTCACTGACTATGCTGAAGGCTTTGATTGTGTGGATCACAACAAACCGTGGAAAATTCTTCAAGAGAAGGGAATACGAGACCACCTTACCTGTCTCCTGAGAAACCTGTATGCAGGTCAAGAAGCAACAGTTAGAACCAGACATGATGGAACAATGGACTGGTTCAAAACTGGAAAAGGAGTACATCAAGGCTGTATATTGTCACACTGCTTAGTTAACTTATATGCAGAGTACATCATGTGAAATGCTGAGCTGGATGAAGCACAAGCTGGAATCAACACTGCCTGGAGAAATATCAACAACCTCAGATGTGCAGATGATACCACTCTAATGGCAGAAAGTGGAGAGAACTGAAGAGCCTCTTGATGAAGGTGAAAAAGGAGAGTGAAAAAGCTGGTTTAAAACTCAACATTCAAAAAATAGACTGTGGCATCTGTTGTCATCACTTCATGGCAGATAGATGAGGAAAAAATGGAAACGGTGGCAGACTTTATTTTCTTGGGCTCCAAAATCACTGCAGACAGTGACTGCAGCCACAAAATTAAAAGATGCTTGCTCCTTGGAAGAAAAGCTATGACAAACCTAGACAGCATATTAAAAAGCAGAGACATCACTTTGCTGACAAAGGCCTGTAGAGTCAAAGCTAAGGTTTTTCCAGTAGTCATGTATGGATGTGAGAGCTGGACCATCAAGAAGGCTGAGTGCCAAAGAATTGATGCTTTCAAACTGGTGCTGGAGAAGACTCTTTAGAGTCCCTTGGACAGCAAGAAGATCAAACCAGTATCCTAAAGGAAATCAGTCCTGAATATTCATTGGAAGGACTGATGCTAAAGCTGAAGCCCCAATACCTTGGCCACCTGATGCGATGAGCTGACTCATTGGAAAAGACCCAGATGCTGGGACAGATTGAGGGCAGGAGGAGAAGGGGGTGACAGAGGATGAAATGGTTGGATGGCATCACCGACTCAATGGACATGAGTCTGAGCAAACTCCAGGAGATAGTGAAGGACAGGGAAGCCTAGTGTGCTGCAGTTCATGTGATCACAAAGAGTTGGGCACAACTTAGCAAATGAACAATAACATAGATAAGTATTAATAAAAACACAGGCATTAGAGCCTTAATATTCTTTAATTGTGAAGGACAATCATTTATTTTTCTAATTCTGTTATTTTTTTATCCCAATAACACAATAAAGTAAAAATAAGTAATACCTTAGGACTAGGATACAATATTTGTAAAAGACACATCTGATAAAGGACTGTTATCCAAAATATACCAAAAGGACTGTTATCAACTTTCACAATATGAAAATGAGAAATCTGATTAAAAATTTGGGGAAAAGACCTAATAGACACCTCACCAAAGAAGATATTCAAATGCAAGTAAGCATATGCAATTATGTTCAACACCATATGTCATTAGGTAGTTGCAAATTAAGACCAAAATGAGATATCACTATACAATCTTTAGAATGGGCAAAATCTAGAATACTGACAACAAATGCTGGTCAGGATATGGAGCAACAGAACTCTCATTTACTGCTTATGGGAAATGCAAAATGGGTAGCTATGTTGGAGATAGTCTGGAAGTTTCTTACGAAACTAAACATGCTCTTACCATATGATCCAGATCACACTCTTTGGTTTTTACCAAAATGAACTGAAATCTTATGTTCACACAAAGACCTGCATATAGATGTTTATAATAGTTTTATTTGTAATGGCCAAAACATGGCAGCAACCATGATGTCCTTCAGTAAGTGAGTGACTATTAAATAAATTGGTACATCTAGACAATGAAATATTATTTAGTGCTAAAAAGAAATGAGCTATCAAGCCATGGAAAGATGGAGAAAACTCAAATGCATGTTACTAAGTGAAAAAAGCCAACTTGAAAAAGCTATATACTGTATGATTTTAACCACATGACACTAAGAAAAATGCAAAACCATGGAGACAGTAAAAGGAAGAGTGGTGACCAGGGGTTGGAGGGAAGGATGAATAGGCTAAGCACAGAGGATATTTAGGGCAGTGAAATGATTCTGTATAATACTGTAATGGTTGAGACATGTCCTTATACATTTGTTCAGACTCACCGAACATACAAGACCAAGAGTGAAAACTAACTAACCTAAACTGTGGACTATCACTGTGGGTGATAATGATACATCATTGGAGGTTCACTGATTATAACAAATATGCCCCTCTGGTGGGGGGTACTGATTGTGAGGAAGGTTGTACCTGTGTAGGAAAAAGGACTGTATGTGAACTCCATAATTTCTGTTCAGTTTTGCTGCTCTAAAGACTAAAGTTTACATTAATTAAAATAAAATTTGCTAGGTACAAAAAACTATTATTTGATTTGGATAAGTCAAAAATTTTATCAACAGGAATCTTACTGTATAATAACAATCAATGGCTAATTTGAATAAAAATGAAACTGTCTGAGATATTAAAAAAAACAATACCTTACAACTATCATTTATGGTGGTAGAATATAAAATGGAATATGGCTGCTGTGGAAAACAGTTTGGTGATTCATAAAAACTAGAATCACCACATGACCTAGCAATTCCACTCCTAGGTATATATCCAAAAGAATGGGAAAGAGGTGTTTGAAACAAAAACTTGTACATGAATATTCATATCACCAACAATCCTAATAGTTCAAGCAAAGTCACCCAGTCGTGTCCAACTCTTCGCAATCCCATGGACTGTAGCCCATCAGGCTCCTCTGTCCATGGAATTTTCCAGGCAAGAGTCCTGGAGTGGGTTGCCATTTCCTTCTCCAGGGGATATTCCCGACCCAGGAATCGAACCTGGGTCTCCTGCATTGCAGGCAGACATGTTACCATCTGAGCCACCTGGGAAGCCCTCTAATAGCTCAAAGGTAGAAAGAATACAAATGTCCATCAATTGATGATTGGATAAACAAAATGTGGTATGGCTATATTATGGAGTATTATTCAATCATCTGAGACAAGTGCTTGGGCCTGGTGCACTGGGAAGACCCAGAGGGATCGGGTGGAGAGGGAGGTGGGAGGGGGGACCGGGATGGGGAATACATGTAAATCCATGGCTAATTCATTTCAATGTATGACAAAAACTACTGTAATGATGTAAAGTAATTAGCCTCCAACTAATAAAAATAAATGGAAAAAAAAAAGGAATGAAGTAATGACACATGCCACAACACGAATGAACCTCAAGAAGATAGCAACAAGCAAGAGAATGCAGACATAAAGGCCACATAGTATATGATTCCATTTATTTGAAATACCTACAATAGGTAAACCCACTGAGACAGAAAGAAGATTAGTGGTTGCCAGGGCCTGGTGAGGGAGGAATGCAGGATGACTACTTAATGGCTATAAGGGTTTACCTTTTGGGGCAGTGAGAATGTTCTGGAACTAGACAGTGGTGATGGCTGCACAGCACTGAGAATGTATGAAATGCCACTGAAGTGTACACTTTAAAATGATGTGCTCTCACTATAATTTAAAAAAAAAGAATGTACTACAAAACTTAATACCTTGATTTTTTCACTCTCTTTTTTCACTCGCTTTGCATTTTCAATAATGTAAACAGTGCTCTTATTGACTTCATTGTCAGCCCTGTGCCTCAGCCAATCCTCATATCCCTAGAAGAATAAAAATAAGGATATAGTCAAACTCACATAATGAAGTAAAGTTGTTAATAAATTTCTACAACCCCTTCTCTGAGTCACAGCAGATACCTGTACTTATAATATTACTTTCAATGCAGAATAAAGAGACAAACACTGTAAATTTTTGCAGCAAAAACAAAAATATGCTTTCAAAATATTTCTTAGGTAAAAAGCTTTATTGCATTAAAGGGTTCCTCCATTCTAGAGATAAGTATTAATAAAAATACAGGTAATAGAGACTTGATATTCTTCAGTTCTGAAGGACTATGATTTATTTTTCTAATTCTGCTCTTAGTCAAGTTAATGTTAATGTTCTCTACTTTTTAATTTGAAAGAAATTTTTTCCAGGTTTTATTTTCTTATAGAGCAAATCACTTTAACACATTCTTCCATATTAGACTGTTGGGAGTGATCATCTCTGAGGAAATATAATTCCTTCCCAGAGACAGAGAATAGAAAGAGCAAGTAGGATTATTTTGGAACAGTATCTACGAAAAGTTTTAGAGATCAACAGTTAAACTTCTCCACTGACTTGGTGACAAAAGAAAATATAAATTGGTGTCTGTTTTTTAGAGTTAAAAGTAATGAGTTCATTTTCCTTTGGGCTTTCTTTGGTCTACAGTAATTTAAGCCAAAAGAAGTAAGAATGGAGGAACTCCATTTGTTTGAGCACCATCTCCTTTTTTTACATCACTTTGCTTTTTTTCCTTATAATAGGGTCTGTACCTTTTCAAATTTAACTGTTTGAAAAGTCTCTTGATCGCCTTCCCCTTTTTCTCTCAGGTGCTATATTTATTGATTCCTATCCTGTCCTTCTTTAGGGCAATGCTTAGGCTATCACTTCATAGGGGAACTTTCAGTGATGTCAGTGAGGAAACAAAGGCCCCAACATGAACTAGTATTGGGAGTAAAATGAATCAATAAGAGTTTTTTGAAAACCAAACAGGCTATTCTTGGGAGCAGCAATTCTATTATGTTAAAGAAAATAATCTTAACAGCCTCAGGGAAATAACATTCCCAAAGTCTTTATTTAGCAACCAAACACTTGATAAAATAGCCTTTCAGTTCTGGGTAGGCAAGATAGAAGACCAGATAGACCCAAGAAGAAAGGTAACCATGTTCTCAATATTGTTAAGCAAACCTTTATTTTGGACATTCTTTAGGACACTTTCTAAAGGACTTTGATAAATACTGTCTAAAAGTCTCCTTGTAACCTGTCAGCTTCTGGTACAGGAAAAACATTGTTAACCACTCCTTAACCACGTTTCCTGTTTCTATTTTCAATTTTATTGGGAATTTGTCAAAAGCACCCCTTCAGCAGCATCAGGAAAGACAATAAAATTAAAGTATTTATACTCTTGAGTTCAGAGAAGGAAATGGCAACCCACTTCAGTACTCTTGCCTGGAGAATCCCATGGACAGAGGAGCCTGGCGGGCTACAGTCCATGGGGTCATGAAGAGTTGGACATGACTGAAGCGACTTAGCACACACACACGCATTCTTGAGTTCTCTGCTATAGGTGGCAATTTAAAAAGTCCACAAGAATGGGAATTTTTCAGACAGATATAGCACAGTGAAAAATGCAATGCATATTGCAAATTTATCTCCCACTCCCTGAGTGAGGTGTACCTTCTACCTATTCTCCTTTTAGGGTTATATTCCTCCCTCCAAAAAATAAGAAGAAAGGAGCAAAGAAATTAAAGATGTGTCTTATAACCATTTTAATGGGTTTTCAATAAGAACAAAATATAAATTCTCATGTCAGACAGGACTGAAATGCAAGCATAATTGTAAATTAGAAATTTACCTGCTTGATGGCTGTAACAGTTATAACAAAAAAAAGTGGAAGTCCACTGGTAATTGGGCTAGTTGGTGTGTCTACTGTGACCTAGGTAAAGAAAGTAAATTGAGAGTAAAATGAGAAGAAGTCATTAACTTATATGCAGCATTTACATGCTACAAACATTTCAGACAAAAACGTAAATAAAACATACCCTGGTAGCAGCGTGAATGTTAACTTTCCTTAAAACAAAAGCAATCCATGTAGCCATTAGTTTAAGAAAATAGTTCTAAATTTAGGCTTAGTTTTCATGCCATCTTGGACTAACCCCTAGACTGAAATATATCCATTCATTTACCATCTGTCTGTTGAGCACCATTCTGTCAGCCTTTGTGCTATTATCAGCCAGGCTCTAGAGATGCTGCTTTATTTTAAACAAGATGGAGAAAAGTTCCTGCCCTCATAAGAGCTGGCAACTTATAGTGAAAACCAGACATTAAAACAAGTCACATTTGAAGAGTATATAGAAGTTAACTAGATGGAAGGGGGCTTCCTAGGCGCAGTGAGGCACATATACAAAGTCTCTATGGGAGGAGGGCATGTGTCACCTGTGATAAAATAAAGGAAGCCAGCTGCAAAAAAGCATGTGGTGTAACAAGAGGCTGGAGGGGAGACAGGGGCCAGACCTAGCAGGGCTCTCCAGACGAAAGTTCATTCTTTATCTCACAAACAGAGGAAAATAATTGAAGCTTTTAGGCAGGGAGAGGTCAGGTGAACAGAATCACATTCCAAAAAGGTCATTCTCATTGCTTTGTGGAAAATGGAATGGAAGGGAACAAAAGTGGAGGGAGGGAGTCCATTTAGGAGGCTAGTACACTCATCCAGGTAAGAGATGATGGCTTGGACAAGGGTGGTAGCAGCAAACAAAAAAGAAGTTCCAGAGGCATTTAGGAAGCAACACTGGTAAGGAATTTCTTTTAAGTGGTGGTTAAAAAACATCTCCCAAGTATCTGATTAACATGGCTAGGTAGATGTTGTCATTCATGGAAACAGGAAATCCTGAAAGAGAACTAGATTTGAGGGAAAGAGGATCATGAGGTCACTCTCCTTTAGCTCTGTGCCTTCTTGCACACACTGAGATATCAGTCTGGATTCCTCACCACATAAGCTCTCTAATCTTTCAAGTCTTAAAGTCACCTATCCTTTGAAGTTTTCTCAAGCTTCTCTTGGGTAGGAAAAAAAAATCATAACTTCCACTGTGTCCGCACAGCATTTTGCTCATACTAGTTTTATGACATTTACCACATTAAATTGAGTGGATACATGACTGTCTTTTTTGGCTAGAATGTAAAATTCCTTTTGGGTAGAAAAGGCAATCTTGATCTTTACTGTACCTGCTAAAATCTTTGTTATCTGGACCACTGCCTGGCACACAGGTGCTTGCTGAACTGAACTGGAAATGTGCTGCATGCCAAGTGGAATGACTGTGTGTATAATCTTCTACACAGTTTATTTATTCTATGCTATTCTGTAAGACATCTCACCATTGATCTAGAGGAGCTCCACCTCAAATGCCCCGTCATTCAAGACTGAAATTGGTTCTTCCCCATATTACAACCCAGACTGGTTTTAACTTGTAGGGCTAAATTGAATTATAGTACTATTTATTCAAAGTGGATAAACAGAAGCACTTAAGATCAGCAAGGCATTTGAGCAATTTTATTGGGATGTTTTTGCTTCACTTAAAACAATGAAATGAGAAAAAAAATACCTTTAATGTAGTAAAATTTTCAAAGGGTAATTTTGGCAAGGGAAAGATTTTAATAGCTTATAGACTGAAAGATGGAAGATGCAATTTAAAATGTCTAAAATTTAAAACACAAAACATTAGTAGGAACACTGAGAAGCAAACCAATGTACAAGGATTTCATCCTTAAAGTAAATAAATGAGAAAAAGCAAAACTGGTGATCAAGAAGATAAGTGATAAATTTTCAATTAAACTGAAACTGGTGCTTAACAAAGTGAAACTATTAATTTGAACTATTTTCAGTTTTCACATATACCACTGTATATAAAAGTACACAATGCATGTCCATCTAAGATGAACAAAGATATGAAATCCATGAAAGTTTAAAAAAAGTAACAAAGTCTCAGTAAGTTTTCTAGTGAAAGAGCTACTTTAGAAACATATAAAATTGAGTAAGCTTAAAATATATTAGTACTTTAAAAAGTGTTATTATAATAAGCCATGAAACAACTTTTTAATCACAGGGCATTTTAAGGTTAGAAAGGGATTGAAAATCTGCTTGAAGAAATGAAGTTTCTAATGGAGCTCTTACCTGTACAAGAAAAATGATAAGAAAATAAAAGTTTGCAATTCTTCTAAACTGTTCAAACAGATTCTTTGGGAGGAAATTCCAAAGTGTATACTATATGGGAGGAAAAAAAAAAGATTATTAGAAAGGAAACTTGAAAAAGATTCCAGATTATCACAATACTTTGAAAGTATGTTAAAACCCAAACCTCAAAGATGAATAAGTGGGTGCTTAGAGGTATAGCATATAAACACTCTGCAGGAGTGAAGTTTTCACTTGGAGCATCCTAACTGGGCCATGTGTCCTTCAGCTTTGCTTTCCCTGGCCCAATCTAAATTAGGTTCCCTGTTATCTGCTCTCACATCACCCTATACTTCCCTGGGATCACATGTTTCAGTGAATAATTATATGTGTGCATATTTTAATTAAAGTTTCTCCCTCAAGAGGCACTGAGATCTAAAAGGGCAGACTATTCATCTAGTCTTTTTATTACTTTTCTCCAACTCCTAGCACAGTGCCTGACATAAAGTAGACACTCAATAAATTAGTTGGATGAATGAATGAACTAATCAAATTAATTTTTCTGGCTGTGCTAAGCTTTGGAATCTTGATCATCATCACAGATAAAATTCTGTCCCTATCACTGCTTTCTACCTCCATGACAGCCTTGGTATACACATAACCTTAGGTCATAGACAGCTTACATTTTAATCAACAACATACCAACCTTGTACTTTGATAGCAGGTAGTGGGTAAAGGTTTCAATGCTAAATTGTACACAGGCAAGAGGAGAAAACTCTTGGGCCAGCTGTCAAATCACAAAGACTTTCTCACTGGTACCTTAAGCTCAAGGACCAGGGCATTTTAAAATCACCCAAAGTTGGGTTTTCTAGATGTCTTAATAAAGACCAGAAACCAGAAAGAAAGAAATGTTTCTTAACCTAAAGATCTAAGTTTATACTTGCACGGTCTCCATGTTTGAGAAAATATTCATTATATTAGGTAAGGTGACTGAAAAAGCAAAGTTGCAGAGCATGATACAATAGATGGGGCTTCACTACTAACCTCCCTTTAAAAGGTGCACAGGCCCAAGGTTCAGGGAATCCCAAGAATAGAAAGATGAATGGAGGCAAATATATTCAGTGAAGCAGCTGCATTACAACCAACAGCCAACCTAGAAGGTTCTTCTCCCAGGGTTCATAGAAGTGCCTCAGGGAAGCCCATTCGACATGAAGTGCATACTTGTGTGTGGATGTGTATCACTTGGGAGAAGAGTCCACAGTTTTCAGATTCCCAAGGCAGCTTGTGACCAAAAAGAAAAGGGATCAAAACCACAGGTCCAGTCACTTTGAAGCTGCCCTAGATCAGCACTTAACTGTCCTGATGACTGAAGGTCAATTTTCTAAAACAACAAACTAAACTCCAACAGGCTAACAGCTGAGCTTCTGGCTCGTTGACCTTCTGTTCCTTAAGTAAAGGGTTTTAAATTAAACAAACAAACATTGGGACTGTGAGAGTCCTCTGTGGGGTGTGAACATGTCGAAGGGAACATTTTTGTTGTTGTTTCTAGGCCCCCACTGTTTCCCTCTGTTTTAACTTCCTAAATGAACTGCTTCCTTGAGGAACTCTGGTCAGTCTCTTGATAGGTAACTATTACTACATGCCCTCTTCTTTCCTGTATCAGATCATGAACTACTAAGAGGTCAGAGAACATATAAACATAAGCTCCCTTCCCTTCCATGCCTAGAACAGTGTTCAGCATGTAGAAGGTATACAAGAAATGTTGACTGAAACTTGTGTCTTGGCCATTTCCTCCACTGCTCTAACTAAAAAGTAAATTAAGCTTCTTGTCTCTGTTATAATACAAATGCAATCTAGCATACATTATTTCAATGCAGACTAAGAGAAGCCTACTTTTAAATAGTGTTCTAACTAAAACTGAAATGGAATGAAACTGTATATACCAAGTTACTCAAATTGACTTGTTTACCTAAAAAGTGAACTCTCAGACTTAGTTGCTACAAACCAAAAATAATGTTAATTCACAGGAAGAAAATGTTTAGAGCATTTGTTTCATACATAATGTTGAACATGGACATTTTTTTGGTCAAAAGTCAGTTCTTTCTCAGAGAAGTCAGTAAGTGGATCTTCTATACTATCTTAACGTGCAAGCCTAAACTAAAAAAGCAACCCTGACATCTAGAACACATTTTAAAAGTTTCTTGGTGCCTCAGACAGTAAAGCATCTGCACGCAATGAGGGAGACAGGGGTTTAATCCCTGAGTTGGGAAGATCCCCTGGAGAAGGAAATGGCAACCCACTCCAGTACCCTTGCCTGGAAAACCCCATAAGCAGAGGAGCCTGGTAGGCTACAGTCCATGGAGTCGCAAAGAGTCAGACACAACTGAGCAACTTCACTTTCACTTTCTTCAAAAGTTTCTTCAGAAAAATGCCAGCTTCCCAAGTATGTGCAATGCATTTTCATTTTCCCTATAGTGAATTAAACAACTGTACACAACTGTGGCCTTTGAGTGAAACAACTGTGGGTCACTCGCTCACACATCTATCATCTAATTTAATTTGAAATCAAAACCTTGCAACTTTGATAAATAACTTTCCTAATTTAAAGGAGAGAATATGAAGGGAATCTCAGTTTTGAGAATCTATTAAATTGAAAATTTTAAACAAGAGGAAACTTTAGAACACTACTTGTTTTTACCCAAAGTCCAAAATTTTTCCAATTTAGCCTTTAAAATGCTGATGGGAAAGCTAAAGCTCCAAATAACTTGTTCTAATATTTCTGTGCATCATGAGAAAAGGGATAGCAGCTAAAATGAAGTAGTTAACTATGTAAAGTGGCAAAGTCAACAACCGGTTGTGAAGGAGCACTGACTTTTCTTACTACTGGCATTTGAATGCGATATAACAAAATAACCATACTTGAAGATTAGTTGTAAATAAGCATCTGGTTGTAAATAAGCAAAACTCTAGGTTGAATAACTGTTCACTTTGCTAAATGACTGTATCCACGTGATTATCAACTCTCCTTGATGTAGGCAGTAAATCCAATTTTGAGCATCACAGCAGCCTACTTTCATTTTCATTACCAATGTCAAGCAGAACTTTCTGCTTTTTCAAAGTATCACTCTTTCTACCATAAATTCAGAACAGCAAAAGGAGTTAGGAAGACAGTGCTACATTAGGATTTAGTAACTTTGGCTTAAAGGGCACCTTCAGGGAGTTTGATAAGATGTAAAAGACATGTCTAAGAAATTCTACTGATACTTTTGATTTTTAAAATGAGAGAAAATGCTAGTGTAATTTTAGTCTTGAAACTTTAATACATTCTTTCACATAGGAGAAGTTAAGTTTAACCTTGGGCATAGCTTCAAAGAGTTAGGAGGAGCTCCCTGATTCTTATCCCACTGAAGTGCTCAAGACAAGGCTCAGAAGTTTTAAATGAAAAACAAAAATGTAGAACAGAGAAAAATGATGGAACCTAAGATCTTAAAGATCTAGTTTCTTTTGCTGTAGAAGGGAATTTCCAAGTTTTGTACCAGCTACAAAATTCTAGTGATTCCCAAAGGTCCCTGCTGAGTGCAGGAAGGCCAAAGAGAACAAGTTTTTCTAAACAAAGTATTTGTGCATCCCCAAAGAAGAAAAGGTTGCTAATTTTGTAAGTTAATAAAACTTAATTTTTATCAAAGTGTTATTTTCAGTGTTCCTGTATTAACAGGACTTATTCCCAGTGATATTACATTACTGATGGCATCTGTAAACAAACAAAAGGCAGCCAACTGAGAAAGTTATTTTTATTATCAAATAGTTTAGAAAGGAAATCAACACTTGCTACAAGTGTTATACATTTCTTCAATTAAAAGTATTGTAGATTTCTTCAATTAAAAGATTCTGGTGCAAATACCATCAGCCAAAGGGCAATGTGAGGAAGAGAAAGTCAAATTATGAAACATTTTTCTCTCCAAACTGGACTTGAAGGCTTTTTTTTTAAAGTAATCGCTTTGCATATTTGAAACACAGGAGACTGAGGAAATCAATACTACTGCTTAGGACTGCAGCAATAATAATAATAATAATCACAAAAACATAAATAACAATAGCAGTTACCATCTGAGTTGTTACTGCATGCCAAGCACAGTGCTTTAATGTTTTCTGTGAATTACTTTATCTGCACGACAATCCTGTGAGATAAGTAGTTAATAGTTCCATTTTACAGATAAGAAAATGAGGACACAGGAAGGTTATATAACTTCAAATACAGATCTCCTGTTTATAAGGGTGAAGCTCTTTACCACTACACTATATGCTGTTCCCTTATAACTATTTATTGAACTAAAATTTCATTCTTTTTGTGAAGTCAGTCTGCTGTCAATTCCTCTTTTCCTGCTCTATAGCTGTTATGAAAAACAGATCAGTTAATAAGCAGTTAACTGGACAAACTGTAAAAATAAAATATCTACAAAGAAAACAATGTGTTAGTCTATCAATGTAGACACATTCACTACTGTGGTTTCTAAAACACACACATACATACTGTATATGCAAATATGTTTAGAACCAGTTTGTATTTGCCCATGAATTCCGTATTATTTAAATAATATCTTATTGCATTATTTTGACTACTGGCAAAACTGAAGTTAAAATATGAAAAATATTCTATGAAATATAAAAACAGTTGAGAATTAACTGAGTTTTATATGTTCCTTTAATATGCAAAAATACATGGTATATTACAACAAGTGGATTGTCACTAGCTCAGTGAAAAGTCACTTGACTATCGGTGTGTCACTTTACCATTTTCCACATAAAGCACTATGGGGAACAATAATTCCCTAGAAAGTAAAGGAGAGAAAACTGAGGGAGGAACCCGAATAGCACAATGATATGAAAACAGCTCTTTATTCAGAGCCACTATATCTTATAAAGCAGTTCTTGTTCCTGGCTTTATCACTAACGCTGCTTCATGACCATGGCACTAACTTAAGTTCTTTGGGTTTGCTTTCTCCATCTATAAAGTCAGGGAGTTGAACAGGAGGATCTCTTAGGATGTTTCAGTTCTATATTAAGTTCATGATTCTGAGCCAAAGGACTACTATTGACTGTTTTCTTGAATACTAAGGGTGAGTCACAATTTTCAGTGAAAGAACTATTCACTATCTTGGGCACAGGTACAGAAACTTCTAGCTGACAATAAATTTCTGCCACAAGGTTAAAGATTAACAAGAAACAGACATTTAAACTCAGAGTGTTCTATAGTCTAATGGATCTGCTCATTAGGTAACACAGTTTTCAATCATTCTATCCATATTTTACATGCTACTCTCCCAGCTAAGTACAATCTATCTGCATTATATCACTACCCAAACAGAAGTCACATGTTTGAAAATTAAAATGTTAAATTTGCAAAGTAAGGGTATAACTTTGTGTTTCAGATCCTTGGTGTTTGTCAACATGCAATGAACCAATTGTCACCAACATTTGAGGTCTACCTTATCATGCTGCATGAGGAAGTGAGGAAAATTACCAAGATCTGTGCCATACTAGAAGATACAGCAGTCTCTAGATGGTGCCAGCCATCTAGCACCTAGCACCTAGCACCTAACCTCCTCAGTCAAGGGGAAAGATTAGCAAACTAATACTTGTAGATTGATGACTACTGGGTACTATGTGTTATAAAGAATGCTTTCATGTATGGAACATAAGCTCCATTTCACTAATGAGGACATTCAGACTGAGAGATTAATTTGCCCAAAGTCACACAGCTAGTAAATGATCAGACCAGGATTTAAACAGGTCTTCAGGCCACTTCTTTTAGCATTACACAATGCTAAATAAAGTAAGATGATTATTCAAATGGTAACACAGCTATCATGATTGAACCCTTAACTGTTCAAGCAGTGCACAGAACAGCATGTACCCTTTAGGACCCAGGAGTGTACTTGAGAAGCTCTGCAATGCAACAGAAAGAGAGAGAAATGTCACTCTAAACACCCTCTGGAAGAATGTAAATTATTTACAACCCAGTCCATCCATACAAGGGCAATTCAGGAAGCTTTGGGCAAGTAAATAATTCTACTTTTAGCACACTTTAAGGCTTAAAGTCATACATATAATCAACAGGCATGGTGAATCATAATGGAGGGCAAGGAAACACTCTTTCAGCTATAACGAGACAAAGTGATACTTTTAAAGAAACTGCCTTTTGGTGGAGTAACTACTACAGTTGGTCTATGATCGGTACAAATGCGCATTCAGGAATGCATATATAAATGTTTCAGCTTACAGCATAAATAAAAATAAGTGTTATTTGGCTTACTATATGAACATCTATTGAGTTAAAAAAACAACTTACCTTAGATGAAACTATTCTATTATCACAAAATTTTTGTGCAATGTATGCTTCAGTTTCTGAAACGGGATGATTGCCAACAAATACTGTGCGTGTACCAACTCGCTTCTCTTCTCCAGCACACTGACCAAGAGAAAGGAAAACAGATCAGTTTTTCATCACATTTCTCTGTGCTTCTACCGAGCACAGAATTCTTGTCTAAGTGTTTAAGCATGTTTGGCTACTGTCTAAAGAGAGAATAGTAGGGAGAGTAGAAACCTTGTTAGGAAATTCAAACTCCACTGTTAGTAAAAGTTTTGTTTAGGCCAACTGCTCTGAGGCCAACATCACGATCCTAAATGTTTAAAATTGAAGTATCCTAGAGAAACAGTATTTTTACTGCCAAGCATTTTCTTTCATCTACAGGATCTCAACCATTACTGTCACAGCAACACACTAATTCAGAAAAGGTCAGATTGGAAATATTTAATTTATTACACAAGAAGTGTTGAAGACAACCTTGCAAATTTCATTATTAGACAGCAGAAAGCAGAATGCAAAATTCTTATAAACTGAAAATAATTGCTTATAGACAGGAATATAGAATGGCTGCCTCTATTAATGGAGTGATCAACTATTTCTAGAGAGAAAAGTTGCAATTCTTTGGCTTTTCAAGGAAAGATATTCTTTTGTGATCTCTCAGAACTTATTGTCAAAAAATCCCATTTCACCCAACATAACTCTAATGCCCATTCTGTATTTTTAAAAAGTAGATTCATTGAATCTAGAAGCTACAAGATTCAGGTCCATTTTTACCTCATAGTTTTACTTCACTGAGGCTTCACTCTGTTTTCTCATCTTAAATCAGGCTAATATACTTTCTTATATAAATCTAAAATAGTCTCTTTTTAAAGTTTTTAAATTAATCTATTTATTTTAATTGGAGGATAACTACTTTACAATATCGTGATGGGTTTTGCCATACATCAACCAACATGAATCAGCCACAGGTGCACATGTGTCCCCCCATCCTGAACCCCCCCGACTCCCCTCCCCACCCTATCCTTCTGGGTTGTCTCAGCGTACTGGGTTTGGGTGCCCTACTTCATGTATTGAATTTGTACTGGTCATCTGTTTCAACATACGTGTTTCAATGCTATTCTCTCAAATCATCCCACCCTTGCCTTCTCCCAGAGTCCTGCAAGTCTGTTCTTTACATCTGTGTCCGTTTTGCTGCTCTGCACATAGGATCGTCGTTACTATCTTTCTAAGTGGAATAGTCTCTTTTGATGGCACTGTTTTCACATGTTTGAGACAACCATTTATTTAAGTCAAAGGAAGTATGATAGAAACCAATATCCACTTATATATTTCCTTATTTTTTAAAAAAGAGCATAATTCCACAACCTAAAATGTTTTAAAGTAAGTAGCCACAAAGATTTCTGTTCAATGATCTATTTAAAGGTCAAAGATATAACTCTCTACCCCTGAAATGTCATTTTAAGCAAGACTCTTTAGAGGTTGCAAAGTTACCCAAATGTCAGTGTTTTGGTGTATTCCAGTCTGAACTTCTGTACCTCAAACAGATATAGGGAAAATAATTTTTCAGATTGAAAAAAAAAATTACTCTAAAATATGGTAAGACCTCTTGCTTCACTGTGGGCTTCCCTGGTGGCTCAGAGGTTAAAGCGTCTGCCTGGAATGCGGGAGACCCGGGTTCAATCCCTGAGTTGGTAAGATCCCCTGGAGAAGGAAATGGCAACCCACTCCAGTACTCTTGCCTGGATCCCATGGAGGGAGGAGCCTGGTAGGCTACAGTCCATGGGGTCGCAAAGAGTCAGACATGACTGAGTGACTTCACTTTCACTTGCTTCACCATCTTCATTTGACGTTTATTAAGTAATTATTTAGTGGGGTATGGCCTCCAAAATCAATAGGGAATCACTGGAAAAGTGAGATAAACTGAAGTAGGAGAGATTTAGGCTGTATATAAGTGATAACTACTGGAAATATACTCTGGTATGGGCTAAGGGAGCTTGTGGGAATTCAATCTATGGCAATCTGGAAAAAGTCACAAAGTCATCAATGCTTGACAATTGCTATTCAGCTGCCTGCCCCAAGACAGGGCATTACAACAACTGACTGTACAAGGTCCTTCGCATGCTAAGGGTCAGTGATTAACACATAAATTTTCAAACAGTTCCTGGAAACAAGTAAACAATCCCTTTGCCAGAATGGTAACTATATACATTTTGATTTAGGGACTGACTGTTTGCAACTGTAATACAAAGGGTCTGAACACAGAAGAGCACTACATTTCCCATAATAGCCATTTTGCAAAAAGTAAATACACCTTCTTAAAAGTATAGTTTACTCTGTTCCCCTTCCGTAGCTTTCTGTTGCAAGTTACAGTCCCACTATAGTCTCTACAACAGACCAGAAATTGTCAAGTCCATACACACATTACAATTTAAATTCTTTCATTTAATAGCCACATGGCTATCTAGTTTTTCAAAGAAGTGGCTATAGAGTAAATAAGCAAGAACCACTTTTCGCGAAGAGGAATGAGGTAGAAGACCAGTGAAGCAGGATGCTTCCTGCACTGCCAGTACAGGTTGTTTTCCTCAGTTAACAGTGGCCACAGATTAACTTAAAACCAAACTGAACTAGCACTACCCCAATTCTGAATTGTCTTTGACTTTCTTCTGTGGCAGATAACTTTCCAAAGAACAAAAGGAAGGTACAAGCATAAAGCAATTTTTCAGGCACATGATGTTTTTATGAATTTTGCATTTGTATAGCATTTATAGTTTTACTAAGAGCTTTCCCTATACTTCATCTCTGATTTCTTTCAAGTGACCTCTATCTCCATTAAATAGGAGAAAATGGATTGAAATTGCTGTGCAGGTTTGGGGAGGGAGAGAAGGGATGGGAGATCCAGACAATGATCATTGTTAGATGAGGAAATCAGAGCCTGAGAGAAGTTGTAGAATGTATGCTCCTGAGGATTTTACAAAAAAGGGCAAAGTCTCCTCAGGTCAGGTGGGTTGAAGTTTGGAGCTGCCTGAGGACTGGGGCTGGGGTGGGGTGCAATAGATGACTTTTCCATGTCTGTCAACCTAAAAATCTAATGAACCTGAAATTTTTGGTAGAATTTGTTTCAACTCTGTAATGCTGCTTGGTTCACATAAAAATGGCAAAGCTGACTGTATGTGTAAATTCATTGTAATTTTCCACTTCTGCCAATGTAGTGTTAAAACAGTGGTTTTAGCTCCTGTGATTTTGAATAATGTAGGTGCCTTAGCCAAGGGAGAGAAACTCTAAGTAGGAATTATAAAAAAAAAAAATCCTGTTTGGATGGCACACAATGTAGTCTAGAGTGGGAGTGTATGATTCCTGCCACTTTGTAATGAATTTTAATTAGGAGTCCATCCTGTGTAGAAGTGCTTCCCATGCAAATGTCCTTAGGAATGGCATTTATTAAAATTGAAATGAGTTGGCACCAATTCTATTTTAATGAGATATCATACACACTACAATTAAAAGGGTGGAAAATATTTAAAAGTATACTTATAGTGTATGAATTAACATAGAAGTCAATTTAATTTTCTTATTCATGATAAAAATCACCCTTTTGTACTCCTGAATTATAAACTGAATCCTGTGTTAAAAAACAAACAAACAAACAAAAAACTCCAATAATTTATTCAAGACATAGTCTCTCAGTGAACATCAGAGTAGGGCTTCCCTGATGGCCCAGTGGTTGAGAAACTGCCTGCCGATGCAGGGCACGCAGGTTTGCTCCCTGGTCCGTGAAGATCCCACACCCTGCAGAGCAGCTAGGCCCGGGCACCGTAACTACCGAGCCCACACATCCCAACCACTTAGCTCCGACCCTGCAGCCTGTGCCCCCAATGCGAGGGGCCGCCCCAACGAGCAGCCTCAAGTGCTGCAACTAGAGAGGAGCCTCCACTCACCGCGACTAGAGAAAGGTCCATACAGAGCAAAAAATAAGAGGGCTAAATAAATCTTCAACAACAACAACGGCAAAAACCGAGAGTAAAATGGTAATGTTATTCAACTAGTACCATCTTAAAATCCTATGCCTTTGCTAGTCATAAACAAACAAAAGCTGCTGGAAGTATTATTTGTTTCTCGATTGTCTCTAGACCAGTGACTCAATAAGAACTGAGGGAAAACAGAGAACGCAACACAAGACTGTCATCATGAAAGCTAGCACAGTTTCTAAAACACAGCTCACCTCTCCATCCATTCCACATATTGGCACACTTGAATTTATCCCTCAGTCATAGACCAGTGGTTCTTAAGTCTGGCCATACATTGGCTTTAAACATAATACCAGTGGCTGGGTCTTTTTATTTAATTTTTCTAGAAGCTCCCCAGGTGACAGTTCTAATTTGCAGTCAGGACTGAGAATTACTGCTACAGAACCTCACTCTTTGAATTAATGATTGACCTTAATGAACATCCTACAAGTTTTTAGTATACCAGGCATGATGCTACACTTCTAAAGCAATTAAATAATTAGCTTTTCAAAGGACAAAAAATACAAATAACCATCAAGTAGCAACCCTTCCAAACATTTTAAGCTGCTCACAAAATGAGATTCTTCGTCAATACTCATTTTGCATGTATCTACTACCCATTGATCATTCAGATCACTGATAATGAAAATTACAGGCCCTGAAAACATGCAAAGCTACTCGGGTTATCAGCAAATAATCAATAATGTAATCTCCAACAATCACAGCATTACTTTTATTGATCATCAAACTGCTCTCTGTGAGTTACTAAAGCAAGCAAGAGGACATCTCTCCTTATCAGTGGGTTCCACATCTGTGGATTCCAGCAACTTGAGATTGAAAATATTTCACGGGTGGGGGAAGATCCAGAAATTCCAAAAAGCAAAACTTGAATTTGTCATGCACCTAAAAACTACTTACATAGCATTTACATTGTACTAGGTATTGTAAATAATCTAGAGATGATTTAAATTATATGGGAGATGTATATAGCTTACATGAAAATACTATGCCATTTTACAGGACTCAAGCATCTGAGGGTCCTGAAATCAATCCCCTGCAGACACTGAAGGATGACTATATTTACTCTCTGAACAAAAA